TGAGGGAAGGCTTCCTGTGGAAAGTGGGATTTTAACTGGGACTTCAAGGGAAGTTAGGAAGTCTGAGAGGTGCTGGTGGGGAGAGATGACATCCCTGGTATTGGAGACAGCCTGGACCAAGGCTCCAAGGCTGTCAACTCCATGTGCAAATCTCAGGAAAAATTTTATTTCAATCACAATTTCTCTTAAGTTCCAGATCACATGTGGATCTCTGTTTAATTTCCACCTGCCCACTGGGCATTTCTGCTTAGACATTCCCTTGACACAAGGAACTTGACTTGAATGAAGTCATATTCCTGATCTTCTAGGCCAAATCAGTTCCTCCTCTTCACATCCCTATTTCAGTTAATGACACCACCCTACTAAGAAAATAACCTCTGATTTCTCTGACTCTTCCCCTATCCCTCTGTTCTTGCATATTTAAGCAGTTGGGAAATAGCAATTTCACAACAGTGAGACAGTAGAAATTAGTGGAGACACTGTTCATGTGAAAAAAAAATCTGTCGGTTTTAGCAGGCCCTAAGCTCTCTGAGTCAAGAGTGTGATGTGCAAGGACAGGTGAGACAGTCCTGTGCATTTCCAAGAAATCAATGACTTTGTGTCTGCTTTAGTTGCTCATAAGCCTAAAGAACTCTTAATGCACAGGCTGTTATTCTGCTCAGTTCTAGAATTCACTTTTCTCAGGAAGGACATTTATGAACTGGAGGGTGCCCTGGAAGGGTCAGTGGAAAGAAGTGGGGATGTTTTGCCTATAAAGGAGACAGTTAGGATGTGTGTGTGTGTGAGAAGGTTATAGCTTTAAATATCTGAAGGGCTGTCGTGGTGGAAGAAGGATTAGACGGTTTCTGCTTGGCCCCAGGAACAGTGGGTGGAAATTGTGGAAAGGAAAATCTAGGCTTGATTTAGAGGCTATGGGCCCCAATCCCCTCATTTCAGAGGCCCAGGGAAATGAAGGGAAGAGGTTTGGCCAAGGTCTAACGAGGAGTAAGCGTCAGAGGCAGGATTTGAACCCAGCTCCTCCGACTCCAGAGCCAGTGTTTTCCCATCACACCACGTACTAGATTGAGTTACTTCTGTGATCTCTTCCCACCCTGAAATTCTGCTCGTTTTTCTTTCTCACCTTCTGTTTTGTTTGGTTTCTTTTTAGGCAATTGGGGTTAAGTGATTTGCCCAGGGTCACATAGCTAGTAAGTGTCGAGTGTTTGGTCTGAGGCCAGATTTGAACTCAGGTCCTCCTGGCTTCAGGGCTGGTGCTCTATCCACTGCGCCACTCAGCTGCCCCTTCTTTCCCACCTTTTGGCCTTTGCTCACATCCCTATTTCCACATGCTGTCTTTCTCTCTCATCTCTCTTCCTACCAAAATACAGCACATGACAGAGTAGGTATGTAATACATACATTTTTTAAATTAACAAATAAAAGTCTACCCACCCTCCAAGGCCCAGATCCAAGAATGTCTCCCTCCTTGAAGACTCCCTTCTTCCCTTGAGATTCTATAGCCCTGATTAGTGTGGCTGTTGAGTCATTTTCAGTCATACATGACTCTTTGTGGCCCCGTTTGGGGTTTTCTTGCCAAAGTTACTGGAGTGGTTTGCCACTTCCTTCTCCAACTCATTTTACAGATGAGCAAACTGAGGACAAAAGGGTTAAGTGACTTGCCCAGGGTCACATAGCTGGTTAGTGTCTGAGGCTGGATTTGAACTCAGATCTTCTTGACTCCAAGTCCATCACTCCATCCCAGATGCCATTTAGATGCCCTTATTTTAAGAAGTTCTTCCTGACATTGAGCCTAAATTGGTCTCCTTGCAACCTCTACTCATTGCTCCAAGTTCTGCCCTCTGGGACCAAAGAAAATAAGGGTTATCCCTCTTCCATGTGATAGTTGCCTTCAGATTCTTGAAGGTGGCTCTCATGTTCCCCCTAAGTTTTCTCTTTTCCAAATCAAACATGCCTGATCTGTTCAAGCAATCCTCTTATGGTATGAGCTCAAGGCCCTTCTGCCAGTTAGTCAACAAGCATTTATTAAGCACCTACTATATCTCTGGGTCTCAGTTTCCTCAACAAGAATTTATTAAGCACCTACTATGTCTCTGGGTCTCGGTTTCCTTACGTGTAAAAATGATGAGGTTGAACCAGGTGGCTTCTAAGGTCTCTTCCACCCCTAAAGCTATGATTCTACAACTGGGATCTTTGCCAGTGAAAGAAAGGCTGTGCCTAGAACTGAACCCAACATTCCAAGTGAAGTCAAAGAGGCCCAAAGAATGATGGGAGTGCCTCTTCCCTGTTCCTGGGAGCCCCAGCCCTCTTAATGTAGACCAAGATCATGTTAGCTTTATAAAACTTCTCTGGATCTGTTTCCTCATACATAAAACAAAGAGGTTATACTACATTACTTTTAAGGTCCATTCCTTCTAGCCCTAAAGCTATGATCCTACAACTGTGACCTGTGCCAGCAGAGAGAGGCTGGTCAGCAGTGAAAAACTTCCATTGTATTGAAGGAACATCTTCCCCATAGGCCCCAGAATGGTACACGGCACATAGCAGGCATTTAAGAAATGTTTATTGAATGAAAGACCAAGTAGGAAGGGTTCCTCTGGGGTCTGGAGCCTTGTTCCCACTGACTTCAGAACATTTAATATGTCAAGTGCCACAGTATCTCACCAGGCACTAGTGTCCTCATGGAGACATATGAGACAATCTTTTGGAGTACCCCAGATCCATGAACTTACAGAACTAGCCAAGGCATTTATTCTGATCTATACACAACTGAAAGCTGGAAACCAGCCACTCCAATTCCCATATCTCAAGCCTTCTCCTTCATCCCCCATTTTTCTTGCCAAGACGCCAGAGGTGGGATGAAGATATGAAGGGAAGTAACAGAGAATGATGGGGTGAAAGAGATGAACGGAACAAACAGGATTGACAATTGCTCTTTCTTCAAAGATGAGCATCATTCTAAGAAAGGACACAATGCCTGCCAACTAAGTGGGCAAGAAGCCATCCATCTCTCTCTCTCTCTCTCTCTCTCTCTCTCTCTCTCTCTCTCTCTCTCTCTCTCTCTCTCTCTCTCTCTCCTTCTCTCTCTCTCTCTCCATATATACATATGCATATGCCTATACATATATAAATAGATACATACAAATATAATGTACATATATATATATAAATAGATAGAAATACAAATATAAGCCCCAAATTTAAAAATTCATTAATAATTAATTAGAGAATTCCAGTCAATTCAATTCAACTGAACAAGCACATTAAGGGACTAACCTGTGGAAGGAGAGAGACTTGAATGAAGAGCAGTTAAGGAAACCTGAGTTCAAGTCCCATGTCTAACATACACCGGTTTCTCTTCAAATCTCAAAGCCCTCAAGTAACTCCTTCTAAAACAATTAGTTGCACAATATTTGCTGATCTGCGTTGGTAGAGAAAGTTCCCTTACTGAGAATATGGTAAAATTCAGTGCAGTCCAAAAACAAACCAAACGAAACAAACAGAAAAAAAAAAAGGGTGAGGCACTGAGGATCCAAAGACAGAAACCAAAAGTGCCCCTCCCCTCAAAGGGTTTATATTCTAGTAGGGGACAACATGTAAATTACAGTTTGTAAATTACTACCTCCCACCCATCAACTTAGCAAAAATAACTAAAAACAAAGAATCTAATTCTGGTGGGATTTTGGAGGAAAAAAGATGCAGTCATTCATTACTGATGGAACTGCAAAATTGTAGAATCTTTCTGGAGAGTAAACCAGCAATACACACAAAAAAATCACACCCTTTGAACCAATAGTTTCATTGTTTGGAGTATACTCTGATAGTGTTATCAAAAACAGTAACAACTACAAAAAAGAGATGCATATTAAAAAAAATACTCTGTTTTATATAATTGGAAAAAACCCTAAGAGCCACCCAATGTTGCACAATAAAGGAATGATGAAATTTATCATGGTGCATTAATGGAAGAGAAACCTTCAAAGACCTTTACGCGATAATGCAAAAACAAAATAGAAAAAGTAGACCTAGAAGAATGGGATAATACATATTAATTCTAGTCACATGAGGAAAAATGAAAGGGCACCTGGAAGGGCTGGAAAGTGTCGAGGCATTTTACACATTCAAATTAATGAATTTAAATACAAATAGTTATCAAGCAAATGTAGCTGTTTGTATGGATGGGTGTTGAATATTGTTTCTCATAAAACATTCACAGTGTTTGAAGAAAGAAATTGCCAAAAAAGAAATTACCAAAGGACACCTTAGTCATAGGGCAGGTACCCCAGATGGACTGTGTTTGCCTACATTTTATAGTGCTTTAAGTTCTGCAAAGTTCCTTCTTCGCCCCACCCCACCCCACACAAAACTGGGGCACAGATGTTGACACTATTGTTATCCCCATTTTACAGATGAGGAAACAGCCTCAGAGACATTAAATGACTTTCCTAGGGTCACAAAGCTATCAAATGTCAAAACCAGGACTTGAACCCAAGTTTCTCCTGACTTCAAAACTGAGTTTTCTCTCTACCATATCATGCTGCCTTTAGAATGGTAAGGCAGTATGATGTATTAGATAGGATAACAGATCTGAAGTCATGATGACCTGGCTCGAAATTCCACCTCAGAGACTTAGTAGCTGTGTGGCCTTAGTTAAGTCCCTTAACTTCTCTGTGACCCAGTTTCTTCATCTGTAAAATGAGGAGGTTGGATTTAATGACTTCTACGTCCCCTGGTAGCTTTTATCTATTATCAGATGTCCTTTAAGATTCCTTCCAGTTCTAAATATGTAACTTTAGGCATCAAGATCCATCAACATTCTTGTTTTTCTATTCCATTCTCTCTCAAGTTCTGATTGTATCTCCTTCACTGAAGTGATCAGCCTATTCATGAGAAATGCACTAGTGTGGAAGAAAAATTCCCTCTTTGCCCTTATACACAGCCAGAGAGCACAAATACAGTAGGGAAGAGTATGGAAAAGGATCAGGCTAGACCATCCTGGCTTACCTGGGGATGCTGGTCAAGTAAGTCACAACGTTCAGGAAATCTTCATCAGGGATTTCGCTGAAGCCTGCAAACTCAGGGAAGGTTATGATTGGGGCGCCATCTTTCCCTCGGCCTCCTGCAATGAGAGAGGAAGGATATTCAGAATTTTACATGGATTTTCATGTTTTCCAAAGAAATAAGAGGTAGTCAAGTCATTTAACAAGCATTTAGCAAATATTTACTTTGTTGTAAGGACTGTGCTAATCAAAAAGGCAAAACCCCTTTCCCTGCCCTCAAAGAGTTCACAGTCTAATGGAAGAGACCATATGCAAACACCTATGTACATATAAGACATATCAGGATAGATTAGAGATAATCTCAGGGGGAAGGTATTAGCAGTGAGGGGAATTGGAAAAGGCAGAAAGTAGAATTTGGCTTAAGTCTTAAAAGAAGCCAGGAGTTGAAGATAAGCTGCCACAAGTGAAAAGGCATGAAATCAGAAGATGGAATGTCACATATGACAAGGAGGCCAGTGTCACTAGACCATAGATAGCATATGTGCAAGGTCCCAAAGTACAAAAAGGCTGGAAAGGGAGGAAAGGGCCAACAGCAGGAAGGGCTTTAAAAGCCAAAAAGATCATTTTATATTTGATCCCGGAGGTAACAGGGAACATCTGGGGTCTACAGAGTAGGGGAGTGGAGTGGTCAGACCCAAGGTTTAGCAAGATTACTCTGGCTACAGAGTTAATGTTGCCACTATATGGAATGGGTCTCGGGGAGGGGGAGGGGGAGAGATATTGGGGATAACTGTGATGTTTTTTAAAAAAGACATATTTTTAAATAAGCATTACATGAGAAAAAATACAAGTGGATGTTGCAAAATTACAAACTACATACATGACCCACAAAGAAAAGATTAGAGAAGACACTCCTAACCCACTGGCCTTCAGAAGTGAGAGGTCCATGGATGTGGAACATTGGATACATTTTCAGACTTTTTTGATGTGTTAATTGGTTCTGCTGATTTTTTCTCTTTTTTTCTTTAAAAATATTATTTGTCATATGGAATTGTTCCATGGGATGGAGAGGGGGGACAGAAGGTGGGAGAAATGGTGATTAAAAAAAAAGTAAATTATAGCAATTTTTTTAAAAAAAGATCATTGGTAATTTTGGAGAGAGCAGTTTCAATTGAATGATGAGGGCAGAAGCTAGGCTGCAGAGGGCTTAGAAGCCAATGAGAGGAATGGAAGTGGAAGTACCGTGTGTAGACAGTGTTCTCAAGTTTAGCCATGAAAGGGAGGAGAGTTATAGGGCAATAGCTAGTGATGATGGTAGGATCAGCGAGGGTTTTTTAAGGATGGGAAGATATGGGCATGTTTGTAGACAGAGAAGCAGCAGCCAATAGACAGGGAGAGATTAAAGATGAGTGAGAGAGTGGAGATGATAATGGGAGCAATCTGCTGGAGAAGATGGGATGGGATGGCATCACTTCTGCATTGCCTTGGCAAGGAGAAAGGCTGCCTTATCACGGGACAAGGATGAAGGAGGTGGCAAGGGAAAAGGAGCGATGAAGAGCAGGTGAGAAGAGGAGACTTTCGGTGAAATGGACTTGGTTTTTCAGAATGAATAAGGTGAATGAGCCAGCATTTAAGCTGGAGCTGGGAGTAGCCTGAGCTCAAATTCAGATTCTGACATTTGGCTGTCATGACCATGAGGAAATAATTTGCCTCTCTGATCCTCAGTTTTCTTCACTTATAAAAGAGGTAAGATAATACCTACTAGACTATGAGCTCCTTGAGATCAGGGACTGTCTTTTGCCTTTCTTTGTAAGCACAGTGCTTGGCATGTAAGAGGCACCTAATAAATGTTCAGTGATTGAATGAATGAATAGTATTTGTCATACTTAACCTAATAAGGTTGGTGTGAAGATTAGATGAGATAAAGTAGGTGTAAAGGGGGGGTGCCCTAGTGAGACTTCAGAAAAAACTGAAGGTCTACAGAGGCTAAATGATGGAGATATTGAAGGTAAAGGAGAAAACCTTTAGATGCAAAGTAAACATTGCCCACCCTAAGAAGGGTGGGAGGCTTGAATGTCTTAATTGCTTATGAAGAGGTTAGCAAGACAATGAACATATCTAAACAGTACAGACTGCATTCACACCTTGCACTAGCCATTTATTTCTAGTCAGCCTAGCCACAGAGCGGTCCGATTCAGAACTGGATCGCCCACCAACCAAGACCTCACTCTCTTCCCATGATGAATGGCAGAATGACTCGCAGACCCTTCTATGGGGGAGAAAAGTCACGGAGAACCTGAAATTCAGGAAATGGAATTGTCATCCTTGCACACATACCTCACTACCGTTGTACAATAATTAAGTGCTCGCTGCTCTCCCCACTGGGACTCTGGGTAGATTTCTGGTTGAGTGTAACCCAGATATTTTGGTGAAATGTTTTATAACACCATTTGAATAAAATGCTTTGCTAAAGAACTGAGTCTATTGAATGATTAAGGGGAAACACACCTGTGGGGGCTCGTGAGCTAGTGTTTAAGAAGATTACTATAGGGTTACCCCCAGAACTTTGAACCCACCCCTCTGGGAACCCGACGGCCAGTGGTGGTGGTGGTGGTGGTGGTGGTGGTGGTGGTGGTGGTGGTGGTGGTGAAAACTGGGTGAATAAGCCCCTAGGAGGTGTTAAATATCTTTTTTAAATGCTTCACAAACTTTAAAGCTCTATACAAATGTTATTTATTATTATTATTATTATTATTATTATTATTATTATTATTACTATCATTGCCATTATTATTACTGTTGCTATTACTCTTGTTATTATTATCATTATTGTAGTGGTGGTTGTATTGGTTGAGAAATAGTAAGATATAGTAGATAGAGAATCCCTCTTAGAGTAAGGAAGACCTGAGTTCAAGTCCCACTTCTGACACTGTCTGGGTGACCCCTACATAAGTCACTTAACCTCTTCAGTGTCCCAAGCAATTGTCTATTATAAATTTCAGACCAGGTGTCAATATGCAGTCATAGGAGTACTCTCAGCAGGAGGCTCCCACACCAAAGAAATCATAGGTCAATCAATTATTAAACATTTCTTAAGCTCCTACTATGTGCCAGACATTGTGTTAGGCACTGGGGATATGAAGAAAGGCAAAAGATGGTTCCTGCCCCCAAGGAGCTTACAATCTAATGATAAAAAAATATAAATATTATTATTATTACAGAAGAGTTATTCATCCTCATGCAGGTTAGATGGTTGCAATTCTGTCCCCTCTCTCTTCACCCTAGACAACAATCCAGTCTAATATTTGGGAATTCACAATGCCTATAGTACCCACCTTCCAGGGTTGTTGAGAAACTCAAATGAGATAAATTATGTGAAACAATTTAGAAACTATTTTTTAACCCTGGCAAAATATTCAGGGTTGCCTTTAAGATGTAACATCATTAGTCAGAGAAAAAGAAACTATCTTCTTGTCCAGGCTTGTGGAACTGTTTCTCTTGTGTCTTCAAAGGAGACTAGATGAGGTTATTTGTTAGTTTCTGTCTCTGATTCTTCCTCTATAGATTTTTCACAGCTGGAATGAGGTCTACAGTCTCCTTTAAGAAGGATGAATTTAGACATGTTACAGCAGAGTTCTAATCTGTTAGTGTCCACGGGAGGCACCGTAGTACAAACAGATCACGGGGAAGCTGAATTGTAGACTCCCAGCCCCTACCATTGATTTACTGGACCTTGGGTAAAAATCATTTTGATTCTCTGGGCCTGGTTTGTCACCTGTGAAATGATGGGATGGGACAAGATGCAATATGGCACCCAAGAGAGTTCAGTCAGTTTTAGGTTGCCACAAGAGAAAAACAGCATCCAGGAGGTAGGAGGTAATGTTCTCTGCCCTACTCAGACCTCATCTGGCATGGCAAGATTCTAGGTTCTAGTTGCCAGTTCTGCGTTGCCACAATTTAGAAGGAATATTGATAAACTGGAGAATATCTCAAAGACGGCAGCCAGGATGGTAAAGGGTTTTGAGCTAATGACAGATGAGGTTTGGCTGAAGGAATCAGGCATATTTAGCCTGGAGAAGAAAAGACCAGGAATGGAGAGGAGGGTGGGGAGACACATTAGCTGGGTTTCAGTATTTGAAGGGCTGTCTTTGGGAAGAAGGATTGGATGTGCTCTTCTTGGCCTCTGAGAGCAGGACTGGAAGTTGAAAAGATGTCAGTTCAGGTTTGATGTTAATCAGTCAGTCAACCATGCTCTAGATGTGATCAGCAGAAACTTCCTAACAATGACAGTTGTCCAGCATGCCACTAAGTGCTTGGGAAAGTGAATGGAAGCCTCTCGTTGACATCTTTAAACAGAGAGTAGATGAGCTGTTTTCAGACGTGTTGTACTGGGGATTTTCATTGAAGTATGGGATAGAGAAGATGGACTCAGATCCTTTTTAACACTAAAATTTTGAGATTTGAGGATCCATGCTCTCAAAGCTCCCTTCCTCCTCTGCTCCCCATTACCAAAAGAGATATTGATTAAGTGCTTAGAACAGTACTTGCTACACAGTAGGTGCTTAATAAATACTTATTCCTTTCCCCTCTCTCTCCCATCTTGTGGGACTGTTAGCAATCTTCTATTGCTAGAAATCACCAAGGAACGTTTGCGTTGGATACTCTCTGAGGCCACTTAATCCAACCCTTTCCCTGACCAACAGTGAATGCCCTCATGGATACATCCAGCCTCCATCTGAAGGCCTTCAGTGAGGGAAGGCCCGTGTGATTCTCTGCCTTGATCATTAAACTGAAGGACTGGTTAATGTTTAGTGTAACTAAAGCCCCAGAAAGCACACAGTTGGGACACAGACTTTTAGCTTCACAAGTGATTTTGCAAATTCAACTTCACATATGATGAGGACAAGGTTGGGATATTTGGATATTTGGATTTATACAGAATACTGAATATCTACTTGGTCGTCCCTTTGGTTAAAAGCGGATATTAGCCCAAGGTTGAACATTTATTCCAAGATCTTGGACTGCCATTGGAGATAATAAAGTATTTAACGCCATCTTGTGAGAAAAAATGGCAATGCATGAGAAATTGAAAAGGATTCTCAACCAAACTTCTTTGGTT